GATGCCTTGATTTGAATAGTTTGACTCCGTGGATTTATTTCAAGAAGAAACAGGAAGATAATTTTTCAATCTTAATTATCCTGATAAATTAAAATAGAATGGAATTAAAATACTGTTACCACATCGAGAAATAAAAGTTTAGACGTACTTCGGTAACTTTCTCACATTTTAGATGATATTCATTGATGGATACAGTCCTGTTTCTCTTCCCTGTATAAAAACATTTATTGAGCTATAATTTACATACAATAAACTGCAGTATTTTAGAAGACAGTTCAGTGAGTTTTGGCAAATGTATATGTCCTAGGATGTGTTCCCACCCACCCCAGAGAGTTCCCCCTTGCTTCTTTGGAGTGAAAAGACTGTGTTCCTCTGCTTCTTTCCCACTCCCCTCCACATCCTGCTCCAAACAACTGCTGATTTGAATTCCATCACTACATTAATTTTTGCATGTTCTAAAACTTTAGTATGTACTTCTTTGTATCTGGCTTCTTTTGTTCAGCATAATGTTTCTGAGATTCTTCATATTTCTTTTCTTTTATTACTGAGTAGTATTACCCCCCTGCCGCCCAAGTTTTAAAATAACATTTCTTCATAACCGTGACTTTCCAATCAAAAAGCTGAAGCCTCGGGGCAATTTAATATTAAAAGTTCTTGTACCTTATGTCTGGAGCTTTGGCTAATAACTCAGTTTAGGGAATAGTTTTGGTGATGTTCATTTTCCACACAGCCTGATGCCATCTCCCCCACCCCTAAACACAGAAACAGAGCCTACTTTTCTTTCCCATTTTCTTCCATGTAGTAAGCAAAAATGAGAAGTGAGCAGACTACATTGTATATATCCTGCTGTGAAATGCCCTAACAGTCCTTTTCCCAATCAGAAAGGAGTTTGCCAAGCTTTACTGACACTAAGTAAGTTTATCCCGAGCCCCCTTGATCAAGAGCCTAGTTGGGTGTTGCACGACATAAAATTTATTTTTAACAATTTCCATAATAACTGTTAAACACCAAAGAAAAATCCGAGAATTACAGAACCGAGGTGATAAAAGTAGACTATCAGAAATCAAATTCTAACAGATTTTAACTAAGGATTTAAAAGAGAATGGATTTAATAGTTGGAGTTCTTAGCCCAGAGACCAAGAGTGCCAAGAGGATCTGGGAATAGCCTTGAGAAATATGTTTAAGAAGTCCAATAAAGGGCATTAAGAGATACACAGTTCCAAAATAAGACCTAGGGATGAAGAGTAGAGCCTGGGGAATACCGTCAGTAATAGTGTAATGACTTTGTATAGCGATAGATGGTAATGACACTTCGTCATGGTGAGCATTTTATAATGTATATGATAGTCACATCGTTGTGTCATATACCTGAAACCAATAGTACATGTCAACCATACTTCAATTAATATTTTTAAAAGTCAAAACCGTAAGTGATGACAAAAACCAGTACTTCCCTACCTCATCCTTCCCCAAGCCCACTTCCAAAACTTCAGAGACACTGACTTTTACTCTTAGTAATATGCTTATACTATTCTTGGTTTTTCTACTTCAGACATTGGATATAAGCTTCCGGCTATGGAAGATGAGGATTTAGGTCCCCCTCCCACCCTTTCCCCTGCCCTACTTCATCTTCTTCCCACATCCCCTCTCTAGTTGTATCCTAGTTGTTGGTTAAATAGATGGTGCTCATTTTATTACAGCTACGTGACTATTTCCCTCTGAGCCATCCAGCACACTATTTGTGCCCGTGCGGTTTTGTTGTTGCTGTTTCCCTTGCAGTTAATGCTTGAATCCTCCTGTTGCCTGTCTTCTGCATTGGTTTTCCCCTTTCCTGGGTCCTGTGTTTCTGGTCTTCTGTTACTCTCTTGTGTTGATGCAGCACGTTCTTCACTAGCTTGCTGAGCTATGGTGCATCTAAGGTTTATCATTTTGAGAGCTTATAAGTCTGAAAATGTCTTTATTCTTCCCGCACACTTGATTGATAGTTTTTCTGGGAAATAATTCTCTCTTAGGATTTTGAAGCTATATCATTCCTTTGTCTTGTAGCTTTTAGTGTTGCTGTTGAGAAAAGTCTGATGCATTCTGATTCATAATGCTTTATATGGATTCTGTCCCTCCTCACTTCCCCCAAAAGCTTTTAAGATCGCCTCTCTATCCCATGTGTTCTCACACGGCAGGATCACATGTCCTGGCGTGGTTCTTTTTTCACTCCATTTTCTTGAACACTTGGTGTACTTTTTCAGTCTAAAAACACATGTCTTCTGGGGGCGCCTGGGTGGCGCAGTCGGTTAAGCGTCCGACTTCAGCCAGGTCACGATCTCGCGGTCCGTGAGTTCAAGCCCCGCGTCAGGCTCTGGGCTGATGGCTCAGAGCCTGGAGCCTGTTTCCGATTCTGTGTCTCCCTCTCTCTCTGCCCCTCCCCCGTTCATGCTCTGTCTCTCTCTGTCCCAAAAAAATAAATAAACGTTGAAAAAAAAATTAAAAACAAAAAAAAAAACAAAAAAAAAAACACATGTCTTCTGGAACATTTTCTTTTATTATTGTATTTTTCTTCACTCCATTTGTCTCATTTTTCCTCCCCTGGAACTCCTATTTGGCAAATAGTGGACTTCTTGGATCAGTCTCCTCATTTCTTTTATCTTCCACCTTTCGTTTTTTGTTTTATTCTCTGTAGATTTCCTCAAAGATAGCTTCTGACCTTTATATTGGATTTTTTTCTACCATATTTTAATTTCCAAAGCTGTTTTTATTCTCAGGTTTGTTTTTTTTTTTTTTATAGCATCCTATTCTTGTTTCATTGATGTAATATTTCCTATTTTTCCTAAGGGATATTATAGTTATCCCAGTCCCCTCCAGCACTTCTTTCTGTTTGTTTGTTTTGGTGCCTGCCTTTGCGTATTCCAAGCTTTCCTTGGCTGTCTGGTGATCCTTGTCTAACTATTTGAATGAAAGTACAAAGCTGATTGGAAAGCTCAGAGCATGTTGTGGGCCTTGTCTAATGATGATCGTGCAGGGACCCAGTAGTTTCCTCGGTGAAACTTCAGGTGTCACTAACTCTGGGTCTTTTCGCCTTGTCATCTTTCCCGGGGAAGGCCATAAGTTTCCTGTGTTGGAGCTAAAATTCAGGCTGAGTGTATTTAGAGGCAACCCTAGCAGGAGGCTGGGTGTCCAGAGCAGGCTGAGGATTTTACTGTTCCATAGGCCCACTTTAATATCATTCTTGTGTTTGCAGTCTGGTGCCTCACACCTTCCCCTTAGTGATGTCTGGCCTGGATCCTTTCTGATTGAGTTTCTTCAGATCATAAGCCTTCTAGTTGGCCAGTGTTTGGGGGGAGGGAATTACCCATCTGTGTGGATTGATGAAGGTCCAGGGCTCAAAATACTCCCTATGGAAGGTGTTGGCCCCGGGCTCCAGCTTTGCGTGTCCTCGGCACCTCCTTGTCAGTGGTAGCAAACCCGTCTCCATACTGAGACTTTCAGATCACTGTGCTCTGCTAAATTACCCACATTCCATCTTCCTGCCAACTTGAAAAGTTTTGTTACCATCTGTTATATACCATTCCCCCTCTCTGTTCTCTTTTCTAGATGCTTTATGATTAGCAAAAAAAAAAAAAAAAAAAAAAAATCACTTAGGGACTGCAGAAAGGGGAAGGAGGGAGTGGAGGTAATTAACACTGTCTTTGGTAGTTTTTCAAAAGGGTCCATGACTCCTTCCAAAGCGAATAATCATTCCACTGTGCTTATCAGGAGAGATTACAGAATCTCTTTAGTTAGGGTTCTTTTTACATTGGAGAGTTTCATAAAAGTATGATAGGTGTATTGTCCTTAAGTTATTGGGATCGAGTAGATGCTTTCTCAGCAGAGAAATGTTTCTCAAGAAACATTCTGATCTTAGCATTCCATCTTTATATTTTCCTTGTTTGTCGGAAAATGTTAAAATTTAGTTTTATAATCACCAGAAGCATAGTGTTCATGAGTGTGTGCACCACCACCCCAGATCTTGTAGAAGACAAATTTTCAATGGTCAGAAACGTGGTAGACTTTCTGGGCTGATGGAAATGTCTTATATATGATGGTTTGGATTATACAGGTGTCTCACATTTGCTAAAATTCATCAAATGGTATAACTGACATGTATTCATAAATTTTACCTAAAACAAAAACCAAATTAAATACTGAATTCGAATTTAAAAATACATGTGAGGACTGTCAAAAGTACATGAGAGTAGTTCTCTGAATTGTGAAAGGTCCTGATTCTTTTTATTTCATGTTGTCAAAATTAAAAAGCCTTAATTATGAACATGAAAATGTGCTCATCATGTACATCGTGACTACCTCCTGCTCCTTCTCCTCCTGTTCTGTCGAGCTGTGCCATACTGGTCGCTAAGCTAGATCCATGAGAATGTTTGAGATTGTCTTATTTAATATCTAAAAATCCTTGGTATGTCCTAGTGCTTTTATTTTGAGATTGTCTCTGGACGTGTCTCCTCTTTTCTGGAAAGTGGGCTTATTTTCGTGTTAGTTGAGATGAATGCACAGTTCATTGGCTGTAAGCTTCAGCTGAAGTTGTAGATCTAGGATGGTCCAAGTGAGCTGTCTGCTGAATAAGAAACATGCAGAGAAGAATTGGGAAGGAATAAGAGCATGGACTTGATCAGTCATTCCCTTTTAGATAGTTTAACATCCGTGGGTTCTTCATGTCTTCAGAGTGCTGTATATCCTAAGTAGCTTCTTCCAGATTCACTCAAAGGTAGGTTAGGAGTAGTTTTCTCATTTCACAGGAGAGCAGATACACACAGAGGTGGAGACCCCCATCCATGCGAGTCAGTGTCAGAACCAGGATTAGAATTTTGCAAGCCAGCCAACCACGGGGAACTAGTGGGAGGGGGAATTGGGAACTGTTGCTTCTAGTGACACTGATAGTGAAAACTACTAACCAGATTATAGGTTTAGGATGGCAAGACTCTGGACTGACCCAAGGTTGAATCTGTTTATTGTAGGTGAAAGAGAATCTGCTTTCTTGCAAGATGCTGTTGCACTGTAAACGGGATGAGCTCCGGAAATTGTGGATTGAAGGAATTGAACACAAGCATGTCCTGAACCTGCTGGATGAAATTGAGAATATCAAGCAAGTGCCTCAAAAGCTGGAACAGTGCATGGCCAGCAAGCACTATCTCAGTGCCACCGACATGCTGGTGAGAGAGCTACCTGTGCGAACGGTCATTTCTGCTAAGATAGGAAAGCCCTTGCTCTTGTTCTCTGAATGCTGTCTTTCACGTAGCACATTACAGACCGCCTCTTGGGATTCACAAGCCCTTGTAGGTGAAGCCTGACCGGTTCTCTTTCCTAATTTCAGTGTTTGAAGCGGTAGGCGATTATTTATGCGTTATCTGCCTTTGGAACAATGGCAAGGTGCGTGATGGTAAGAAACTGGTACCTAGATCACGTTGGCATGGTAATGAAGGTGTTTGAATTTCAGAGGAAGGTGGCTAATGAATCCTATTTTATTTTATTTTTTATTTACTTACTTTTTTAAAGTAGGCTCCATGTCCATGTGGGACTTTAACTCACAACCCCAAGATCACGAGTTGCATGCTCTACCAACTGAGCCAGACAGGCACCCCTAATGAATCCCATTTTAAAGAATGAAATCTGTGTGAGAGACAACTTAAGGGTATTTACGGACTTCACGTTCCACAAATTCTTTGAAGGGATTGTTATGTGAGGGCTCTGTTTTTTCCTTTAAACTGAAGAGCAAGAAAATAATTTTGGAGCAATAATTCTGGAAGCGACTTTGTCAAGCAAGCATACTCCACAGACTAGCCTTTAGCCTCTGAGTCATTCTGTTACTTTTTTTGTTTTTTTTTTTAAAGTAAGCTCTACACCCAGCATGGGGCTCAAACTCCCAACCCGGAGGTCAAGAGTCACATGCTCTACTGACTGAGCCAGCTGGACGCTCCCATTCTGTTACTTTTTGAATTAGAAATGAAAATTCAGAGAATGTTGTTACTGGTGGTGCACGTGCTGAGTGTCAAGAAGATGAATAAAAAATAATACACATCTTATTTCCTAACAATCCTAACTTTCCCAGGGCTGGTGGCTCTTAGAGGGCTGCTCTATCTACCCCCCCCCCCCCCCCCCCCCCCCCCCGCCGCTTTCCACATGACCACCCCACCTGCCATGTTTCTCCAGCTGTTTGGGGACTACAGAAGCCCTCCATAGCAGGTGACTGCATTTGGTTCCTCTTTTCCACAGTAGGTGAGAGTCCCCTGTCTTTGTTTCACTGAGTTTGATTGGCTGTAACACTGAAAAAAACACTGAGACGACTTGGTGGGAGAAGCAGGATAAATCTTCCAAATGGTTCCAATTTAGATTTTCAAAAAGAATTACGCTGTAAGTCCTTCATGAGAACCTGTTAAGGGAATTCGGCCACTAAGATGTGAGATACGCTGTGATATTCTGTCATATATTGAAACTTGGTGTCTGCTAGGAGTAAACAGTAAGCAGTTCCTGTAACCAGTCAGCTAAAAGGACAGGAGGAGATGTGGAATGTCACCTGTGTGTTCTCTCTGCCTGTTGTCTTCGGTGTCCTCTTTCAGACTGTTGCTTTCACAAGTGGGTGGGGTTTGGGTGTTTTGGGGAGGAGAAAGGGTGTGGGCTGTGGCCAACGTCTTTCCAGCTTTGCAGAGGAAAATTTCTTTTAATTAAAACGTGCAGGGATAGGGATGCCTGGGTGGCTCAGTCAGTTAAGCATCCGACTTTAGCTCAGGTCATGATCTCACGGTTCGTGGGTTCGAGCCCCATGTTGGGCTCTTTGCTGACAGCTCGGTGCCTGGAGCCCGCTTCGGATTCTGTGTCTCCCTCTCTCTCTCTGCTCCTCCCCCTCTTGTGTACTCTCTTTCTCTGAAAAATAAATAAACTTAACCCGTCCTCCCCCCGCAAAGAAAACATGGATAGGGTCCAGATTGGGCCAGCTTGAATACTATGATTGTCAGCTCTAACTAAAATCATGTGGTTAGGAGGAGTGGGGTGGGAAGGAGGAGCATTTATCTCCAGAAAGGGGTGAGTGTATGAGCTGTGTTGCCCAGAAGTTCCTTTTTTTCCCTGTTTGTCAGTGTTTATATATAATGGACACTAATATTTTGTCAGAGGTATTTGAAATATCTTCTCCTAGTTAGTGGTATATATTTTTGCTTTATGAAGCCCTTTGTTACAAAGAAGTTTTGGAATTTAATGTGGTAAGATTTCTTTCTTTTTTCTTTTATCTGATTTTTAAGAAAAATTTTTTTCTATCCCAGTGTCCTCTAGAGAATCTACTATGTCTTCTTTAATTCATTTGGACTCTATTTCCGTATATGGTATAAACGTAGGATCTAATTTTATCTTCTATGTAAAAAGCCACTTAGCTCAGACCATTTGCTAAATTTATTTCCTACTGACTTCTAATGCCATCTTGGTCACATACCAAGTTTTCACGTATGCATGGGTCTGTTTCTGAGCTCTTCATTTTTATTAATTGGTCTTGTCTATATCTGCACTGAAACCATGCTGTTTTAATTACCGTTATTTTATGATATAGCTTGATAGCAGGTGGAGACGTTCCCTCACCTTGCTTCTCAGAACAGACAGAACTGTCTGTTCTATTCGTGGCCCTTTACTCTTCAGTATGAATTTTAGTATCAGCTTGTCACATTCCGCAAGAAGTGTCATGAGACTGATTCATTGTAAGAATTTCATCTTCATATTACCGAGTCTTTCAGTGAACAGGATAGACCTCATTTATTGAGATCTTCATTTATGCTCTATATAATAATGCTTAGTAATATGTTCCTTAGAGGTATTAAATATATCTTATTGCTGGCTATCATATTTTTTAAAACAGTGGCGCTTTATTAATAACAATTTTTAGTTATTTGTTAGTGATGAAGGGATGTGATAGATGTTTAATTGATCATATGTCCCTGAACCTAATCCCAGTCCTGTCTGCCTGGAAAATGATTGATTGATTGATTGATTTATTTATTTATTTATTTATTTATTTATTTATTTATTTATTTAGGGCTTAGCTCAGATTTCTTTAGCTCTCTGAATGTCCCAGGTGATTAGGTGCTTTTTCCAAAAAATTAGGCATTTGTTTTTATCGTGGTTGAGAATACTTGACCTGAGTAGATGCCTTTTTTTGTTTGTTTGTTTCCATAAGCTGCATGTACTTCCTTGTAATACAGTTGCTTTTGTTTGTATGGTAGGTCATTGAGGGCAAGGGCTATATCTTATTTATTTTTGTCTGCCTTGTGCTGAGCACCATGGGTCTCATATAGTCGGGGTTCACAGATCATTAGCCAGATGGGTAACCATGTGAAAGACTTTAATAGAGGAAAGAGGTGTTTCCTCTCTAGGGGCTCTGGTCTGATTTTTTCTTTGGGTTTGGTGTTTGTCTTAATGACAAAGTCTTCCAGTTTCCAGCCTTTCCCTTTAGCAATATTTGAGTGAACAACAAAAAACAATAATTACACTAGCAGCCAATACGTACTGAGTATTCACTACGTCATTACATTTAAGAAGCACATTTGTTAACGCATTTAATTCTTATAGTGACCCCATGAGAGATGGGTTTCTGATGTGCTCTCCATTTTTCCGACGAGGTAGTTGCTTTGTATGATCTGAGGAGCTGGAGCATCCTAATGTACAATGAAGATTTCATGAAGGTAGGATTAAAGGTGTGCTTAAAAGGTTGGAAATTTCCTTCAATTTGGCCTTTTGTATATGAGTGAATAGTAAGGGCTATAATTGCTCTTTCATTGGACTTGATGTGAAAAAATATTCACATTTCCTTTCCCCGTGGCTATGTGCTATTAGAAGTAAAATCTACTTAAGGCATCTCGAGGGTCAAAATGAAACATGCTTGCTAAAAGACGTCATAGGAAAGTGAAGACAAAAAATCAAGTCTTTCAAAACTCTCCGATTTCCTTGGATCTGTTTATCGAAAGATTTTGCATTTCCGTTGTAAGGCAGGTGCGGACACCCAGTATTGTAATCCCTACTCAGGTTCATAAATCCAGAGTAAATAAATCAGTGGTGACCCATGGCCCTTGTCAGCTCCTGCGATTCCTACTTCACTATCACACTGGTCTGATAGCTAGAGACTTGGCCTCTAGATGGGATATTTATTTCTTCTTTTGATATGATAACCTGAGTATTGCATAAAATAATTAAATTGTCATGACAGGGACTGTCTGCAAATAGGCATGGCCTTTTGTTTCCTTCTTCAAGGTAAACAGCTGCTGTTAGCTCATGAAAGGCTAAAAGTGGTCCAACAAGAAGCCTGTATCCGTCACATTGAAATCAGAGACTTGATTAATATTGTAGCCTGTAGCTTTGCGATATGTATGGTTTAAATTAGACCTCTGCAGTCATTGTGCTGGGTTGATGCAAGCACATTAATGACATAATTTCTGGTTGCTGCATCACATTTCTGCAGTCTGTCCTTTGTATTCCACTCACATTAATTGAAGTAATTTTGCCAGTGAAGCGTGTTTCAAACCTCTGCATTTAAATTGAAATTTTAATTCCCTTATTGTCTTGAAAAGACGGCTGAAGATGCCTTGTTACAGGTTTCATTATCACTCAGAACACTCCAGCTGCTGGTTCTAATGTACAATGACTGATTAATTCCGGGAAGAATTATTAATATAAGAACAGCAGCTTCTTCCCAGTGGCATGAGCTAACCAGGAAGGTATTTGATGATAGTTAATATTTTTATGAACTTTTTTAAAGGAAAATTTATGTGGAAGTCTGCATCACACGAAAACTGCACAGATGAGCTTTGAAAACCACTTACCCAAGTTCTGATTTATCAACCCATAGAAGTCGACTCATAATTGCATTCAATCAGTGGAAACTAAGCCAGTGTGAGTAGTTTTGAACCACTTGAGCTGACCGTCACAAGGCCTGGGACTACATTTTTTTCATTTCTAAGTCTTCCTGAGATTGTAGAGATTTTGAATGTCTCTTGTTTTTCTATTTATATTTTTTAAAAAAAATCATAGCTGTGTACTAAGATAAGGATTATTATAATAACTACTTAGATTTATGTAGTTGCCTTCCTCCCAGAGAATCCCACGTGCTTTGAGAGAATAGTATGGTGGAATTCTATCACTTACACTGAAAATGTGGCCACATCGGGCATAAAGGGAA